CCCCCCCCCCCCCCCCGTCTACGCTACCGGCCGCGTTCCCTTTCAAGAAGGGTATGTAAAGGATAACTAGGATTCATTGAGGGAGCCGTACTGTTTCTACTCTCGAGAAGTCTGCAGCCGAAACGCTCAACTCGCCCGACTTCCTTACCAATTCCATATGTTTGTATGGTTCCTGAAGATCAGCCAGTAAGGTCGCCTTGCTGCAGTCTTCCCAAAGCCTAAACCCTGCAGCATCAACCCCCAAACCTTAAATCCTAAACCCTGAAGGCTATACCCCAAAGGCCCTAAAGCCTATACATATGAATCTTTCAACCTTCGATCTCTTGGGCCTCAAGACCGAAAGACGTTGATCCACCGATCCCAACCTCCAATTCATCGGTCTTCCCATGCCCACTGGAGCCCTAAATTTTTCGAGACTTTCTCCAAAAGAAGTTGAAAACAACAAAGACACACCCTCAAAGTCAAGGGTTGTACTACAGGGCCCCGCAGATTGGACCACAATCCGTACGTGACACTTCTACAGTCCTACGTCATCCCGCGCCAGCCGCCAATTCTAAACCTTGAGGCCCCGGCCAATCCCTAAGCACTAAATCCCTAAGCCCTAAACCCCCAAGCCTAAGCTGATCAAACCCTAAACCCCAAACCCGAAATCCTAAACCCTAGACCTTAAACCCTGGACCCCAGCCCTTAATCCCTCAACCTGAAACCCCCTACGTCAGGCATCAATGCGCATCGGGCACCCATGCCTGGAGCTCCAACATCTGCCTTGCCCGGGCCATGGACATGTTTAGGGCTTAGGGCTCAGGGTTTAGCGTCCAGGGTTGAGGGTTCAGGGCTTAGGGTTTCAGGTTTAGGCTTTTGGGGCTTGGGGCTGAAATTGTGAGTGGCAGGGAGAAGATTTCGAAATGAAAGCTGGGTAGGCCCCTGGGATATTTAATATTTTCCCTAATGACTTTAATAGGGGACCCTATATATTTATATTTTTCAAAGGGTTTTAGGGGCCAACCCAGAAAAAGAGGGTTCCTGTTTCACCATCTCTTAGTTCCGAGATCTCCTGAGAATTTGAAGAAGAATTTTGAGATCGTACATGAGGCCGTCTCTGGGTCTCCGAAACACTTTAAAGAGGGCCTTAATCTTTGCAGGTCCAAAATTACAGCTGAGGGCTTCAGCTTTAGGCTTAGGGCTTAGGACTGGAGGCTCGGGTTTTTATCAAGGGAGGAGGCACCTTGTAGGGTCTGGCTACAGCTTAAAGCAAGTCACCTGCTGCACTTTCTCCTTGAACAGTCAGCTTCCCTAAGCCCTAAACCCTGAAACGCAACCTGAAACCCAACTGGCCCTGCAAGCTCTTCAATGCTCCTCCGTAATTTCCCAATACAACCGTATATACTCTTGATACAACCCTACCTTCCCCCATAACCCTACATACAGAGCAGTCAACTCGAATAAACGGCTTGGGGGTTTAGGGTTCTTCTACCAAGGCGTTGCTGGGGTTTCATGTGTGCTTGTAGGCCCTGAACCCCAAACCCTCAACCCTAAAGCCCCAAACGCCTCCCTTGTCAGTAAACCCTAAATTAGGAGCTAGACATGTACCCCCCCCCCCCCCCACCAATGTACCGCCCCCAAAATTAGAACCCCATTGGGCCTTATTAAGCTCCACATCGTCCTTATTAGCTCCTTAAATCCTGCACGGGGTACATTTTTTGTTGGGGGGGCCTGTATTGTAACTACTAACTAAACCCTAACCCTAAACCCTAAACTAAACCCTAAACCCTCACAATGGGATCCTGGCCTCTCCAAAACTAACGTGGAACCCCTAGGGTTTAGGGTTGAGGGTTTAGGGCACCCTGTAGGCTTTTTTTTACACGAATGAGGGGGGGGGGTGTTCATCCCCCAGGGCCACGGGATTTTGGGTTCAGGTTCTTGCTAGTGGGCTAACAAAAGATTAGGGCTAGGTTACGGTTTTTCTTGGTGAGTCAAACAAGAGTAGGGCTAGGTTTCAACAGATTTAAGGTTTAAGGTTTAGGGATGGGATGCAGTGGGACCTGGGCACTTTCTGCACGGATAGGGGCACATGGCAATGCAAAGGCGTGAATCCTTCGTACCAAGAACTTCATGTCTTTGGCAATGCTGCCTCTTTTGCATCATAGTGTATGGTATCCAGAAAGATTTCCCGCTTGACTCAGACTTTCATAGTAGCCAAGCACTTGACCGAACTCCGCTTAGTGTAGGAGATCCGAACAGGGTGCCAGAAAGTTTCCTCCGACGTTTATGTCATTGTCTTGCCGAGGAGTTCTCTGCCCACCAATTGGAAGATGCCGGATTGGATCAAGCCCGACGCGCACATTTGCAGCTTGCATGAGGAACTGCTTCTGTGGGGTCACCTTATATAGCCTGGTGGGGATGTGTTCTGCGTAGATACGGGAGGAAGTGCCATCTGCTCTTGGGACAGTTATCGTAGTTCCCAGACCAGCTCTTGCGGTCCGGCGTGAATATTTTTCGTCAGCTCCTGCCACTAGAGAGCTTGTTCTAGAAAAGCAGTGGGGATGGACTTCTGGGTATGATGTGTTGCAGAGCCCTTGCAGGTTATAATTCGCGAAGCACCGGCGAAAAGGTCGAGGTCGTGGTGGAGATGGTGAACACTGCCAAACAGGAGGCCCAAGCCAGCTGCTACCGGGGAACCTTTGCAGCCTGACGACCTATGGAAGAGCCTCCCTCCTTTGAGAAGAAAGCATGCTGATGGGCCAAGCCCTCAAAGTGGTATTGCAAAGTCAGGGCACTAAATTTTGTAAATGGAAAAGAGATAGGAGGACGGGAAGCACGCATCACACGGAAGAGTTTGCTATCAGTCGAGTGGAGGAAGCAGTGGTGTGTACGTTCTTCCATCCTGAATACACAGCCAATGGCGACCACTTAAACCAACAACCCCAAGCCCTAAACCCTCAGCCCCGAAACCGCACCCCCTAAATCCCAACCCTCGACCATAAAACTCTGTAAACCCTAAATCCTGAACCCTAAACACTAAACCCATAAACTCTACGCCACAGGTGGAGGTGACTGGTGTCAGCATGCCAGGATTTCTCAGAGTGATTCCCTTCAGCGTCATCGCGCCTGGGCTTTAATGAAAGGGACTGTACTGCGAACCTCAGGGTTTAGGGTTTAGGGGTTTGAGAACCCCAAACAGGGATCCCTACGGATATAATAGGAATATAATGGAATATAAGGACCCTGCTAGGAATATTCCTATTATATTCCTACTATATTCTTGAGGTTCCCTGTCTGGGGTTCCCAATACAGTGCCTTTATTAACCCCTGACCTCCATAGCTGCTGTCGTGGGATAAGGCTTTCGGTTTGAAGGTTTAGGGTTTAGGGCTGTTTAGGGTTTAAGGTTTAGGGTTTGGGGTTTAGGGTTTAAGGTTTCGGGTTTCGGGTTTACGGTTCAGGATTTGGGGTTTAGGGTTTGGGTTTGGAGGGTTCAGGGCTTGGTGCTATGACTTCACTTCTTCGTCATGACTTGTACATGGCATTTATCCGGATTTTCAAGGATGTTAAGGACTACTATTGCTATCAAGTACTGCTGTGACTACTGTTACTATTTCCGCTCCAGGCAATAGTTGGAGAGACATAGGTTCTTAGCCAGAAAGAGCCTTCACATTTTGTAAGACAAAATGACAACAACAGCAGCAACATTGACAATAGCAAGCATAGTAGAATAGAGCAGTAGTTTCAGTATGGTCATCACGAGAACTACAGCAAGAGTTATGTCTTTATTCTAGTTGTTGGCAACAGGAGATCCATTTTCATTATCGTCCTTGTGGCCTTATGCCAGCTAGATGCAACCCGCGGGACATGTGGCCTAATGCTGAGTTTTTCTTGCAGCAAATTCCAAACCCCAAGCTTTCTAAATCCAGCAACCGTAAGCTGGCAATTAAAAACACAGTGCTTATACCGTAGCAACTCTGTAACAATCATATTCTTTCTAGTTTTGTAACAGCAGTGCCACATGTTCATCCTCTTTGTGTCATGTGTTGGGTCATTCCCCCTCCCGGTAACTGTCCTTAAAGGGGCCTTATAAGGGGGTTCTTATAACTCCTATAACCCATTGTGGTAACAGTTACTGTAAGGGGGAATGACCCAAGTCATGTGTATTCTTATGTCCATTGTTGCTGTGATTGTTGGAGTGGCCGGACCTGACTCATGAGAACTTGGCACTGGACTTATCTTTATTTGCTAGGTAGGGACAAGCTAAGTCACAACCAGGTGATATGCTATGGTCCTTTATATAAGTCTTACTATAGAAAGACAGGTAGTTCAGATTGTACTAAGCTAGATCCTTCTCAACCTTTCTATGACTGCTTGGCCATTTGTCTGGACAAGTGGCCCTTGCAATATTGCATGACATACGCGGATCCAGGTGGTCATTGTGTAGAAATCTTATCCAGAGATCCTGAACCTGACATCGCCCAGTCTTCCAAGCCGGAAGCCCTGAACGCTAGACCTCACCTTATATCCTACACGCCAAGCCCTGAGCCCTAAGCCTTACACCCTATATCTTAGGTGGACCCCCCACCCAGTAATAGTGACTATAGGGGATAATAGGGATTATATTAGGGTCCTCTTATATTCCTATTATACCCTATATCGTAAACCCAGTCTTCCAAGCTATGGAGGCCAGTGCCATGAATCCGCTCTTCCCGCCTGAGGCAGGTCTCGGAGCTCGCATGTTTAAAAGGGTAAGGTACCGGGTTTGGGTCGCAGTTAGAGGGATTGCGGATTGTGGGTACAGCATGCAAGTTTGTGATCTGTTTTGTGGGTTTAGGGTTCAGGGTTTCGGGATTTGTCTTTGTAGGCTTCATGGAATTTGTTTGTGGGAAGGTGCTTTCTGTAGTGGCCGCTTCGGGGGCACTTGTGCAAGCCACATACTGACAGGCCTGACAGGTAACAATCAGCAGTCTCATCACCACCTTTTGTGAAGTCTAGTCCCCTTTAAGTAGATAGAATATGGCTTTGGGTATATTATAATAAGATCCCCATATACCCAATATTCTATCTATTAAAGGGGGACTGTATATTTAAGCCGCAAGTTTGGTGGATGGTGATAGTAGGGCGTCGTACTTCTTACCCACTCCCTGATGCAAAGCCTGGAAGGCATTGCCGAAGGGAGAGGAAGATGGCGACCAGGCTCGCCGAGGGCCTGCATGCATTCAGTCACTGATAGGTAGTGGCGTGAACAGTTGGGAGTTTCGCAAAATTAGGGGTACCATTTTGGGGGTCCTTACAATAAGGACTATAGTAGTTTGGGCGGAAATAAGTCGAACGGGGCTTGGATTGAATTTTAGGACTAAGTTAGGGATGTTTGATCCGTGTTTTCAGGGTTTAGGGTAAGTCTGCGAAGTTTCACGGGGAAGTTTCTTCAGTTAATATGACAGTAGAGGTTGTAAGCGTGGAACATGAAATGGACGTAGGATGATTCAAAGCTATACCCTAACCCCAAACCCTAAACCCTAAAACCCTAAACCCTTAAACCCTGAAACCTAAAGCCTAGTTTCCCCTTTTTCTGGAGCTTGGGCGGGGCGGGGATCTTGATATTCAAGTTTCTGTTCCCAATCCCTACACCCTCAACTTCAACCCTTTGCCCCTAGTACTCTAAAACCCTTAAACCCCACACCCCAAACCCCTAAACCCTAAACCCTACACCCTAAACGCTGCAGTTAACTCCTTAACCCTCCACCCTCGGCCCCAAAGCCCCGAACCTCACATCCTACACCTAAACCCGAAATGAGCCATAGTCTAAACTCCTTAAAGGGGATCATACAGGGGATTGTATACGGGAGTATTATGTCGTCATTAAGGGGGATAGATGAGTTTAGACAATATTCAAATAGTGTTGACAATTAAAGTCGTGCATGGCCTCTTGAAATTTCAGCCCCATCATTCCCAAGGTACGAGGTACTTAGGGCC